GAAAATAAGGGTAAATACGGGCAAGAACAAAATTGTAAGCAACGTCTCCAAAACGACTTGTTTTCGAACACGGCACCATTATTTGATGTGGATAAGATATATTTATCGCCCCATCGTGTTTTGAAGCAAAATTCGTACACGTTTACAAAAGTCGAGGAAAATAAGGGTAAATAAGGGCAAGAACGAAAAATGTAAGCAACATCTCTGGAAAGACTTGTTTTCGAGCATGACACCATTATTTGACGTGGATAACAGATATTTATCGTTCCATCGTGTTTTGAAGCAAAATCGTACACGTTTAAAAAAGTCGAAAAAATAAGAGTAACTAGAAGCAAGAAAGAAAATGTAAGCAACATCTCCAAAAGACTTGTTTTTGAACACGGCACCATTATTTTATGTGGATAACATATATTTATCGCCCCATCGTGTTTTGAAGCAAAATCGTACACGTTTAAAAAAGTCGAGAAAAATAAGGGTAAATAGGGGCAAGAACGAAAAATGTAAGCAACGTCTCCGGAAAGACTTGTTTTCGAATACGACACCATTATTTGATGTGGATGACATATATTTATCACCCCATCGTGTTTTGATGCAAAATCGTACACGTTTAAAAAATTTGAGGAAAATAAGGGTAAATAGGGGCAAAAATGCAAAATGTAAGTAACGTCTCTGAAAGACTTGTTGTCGAACACGGCACCATTATTTTATGTGGATAAACTATATTTATCACCCCATCGCGTTTTGAAGAAAAATCATACACGTTTAAAAAAGTTGAGGAAAATAAGGGTAAATAAGGGAAAGAACAAAAAATGTAAGCAAGGTCTCCGGAAAGACTTGTTTTCGAACACGGCACCATTATTTGAGGTGGATAACATATATTTATCGCCCCATCATGTTTTGAAGCAAAATCGTACATGTTTAAAAGACGTCGAGGAAAATAAGGGTAAATAGGGGCATGAATGAAAAATGTAAGCAACGTCTCCGGAAAGACTTGTTTTCGAACACGGCACCGTCATTTGATGTGGGTACCTTATATTTATCGCCTCATCATGTTTTGAAGCAAAATCGTACACGTTTAAAAAAGTCAAGGAAAATAAGGGTAAATAGGGGCAAAAACAAAAAATGTAAGCAACGTCTCTGGAAAGACTTGTTTTCAAATACGACACCAATATTTAATTTGGATAACATAAATTTATCACCCCATCGTGTTTTTAAGAAAAATCGTACACGTTTAAAAAAGTCGAGAAAAATAAGGGTAAATAGGAGCAAGGACGAAAAATGTAAGCAACGTCTCCGGAAAGACTTGTTTCGAACACGACACTATTATTTGATTTGGATAACATATATTTATCGCCCCATCGTGTTTTGAAGCAAAATCGTACACATTTAAAAAAGTCAAGGAAAATAAGGGTAAAATAAGGGCAAGAATAAGAAATGTAATCAACGTCTCCAGAAAGACTTGTTTTCGAACTCGGTACCATTATTTGATGTGGATAACAGATATTTATCGCCCCATCGTGTTTTGAAGCAAAATCGTACATGTTTAAAAAAGTTGAGGAAAATAAGGGTAAATATGGGCAAGAATGAAAATGTAAGCAACGTCTCTGAAAAGACTTGTTTTCGAACACGACACCATTATTTTATGTGGATAAGATATATTTATCGCCCCATCGTGTTTTGAAGCAAAATTCGTACACGTTTAAAAAAGTCGAGGAAAATAAGGGTAAATAGGGGCAAGAACGAAAAATGTAAGCAACATCTCCGGAAAGACTTGTTTTAGAACACGGCACCATTATTTGACGTGGATAACAGATATTTATCGTCCCATTGTGTTTTGAAGAAAAATCGTACACGTTTAAAAAAGTCGAGAAAAATAAGGGTAACTAGAAGCAAGAACGAAAATGTAAGCAACATCTCCGTAAAGACTTCTTTTCGAACACGGCACCATTATTTTATGTGGATAACATATATTTATCGCCCCATCTGTTTTGAAGCAAAATCGTACACGTTTAAAAAAGTCGAGAAAAATAAGGGTAAATAGGGACAAGAACGAAAAATGTAAGCAACGTCTCCGGAAAAATTTGTTTTCGAATACGACACAATTTTTTGATGTGGATAACATATATTTATCGCCCCATCGTGTTTTTAAGCAAAATTCGTACACGTTTAAAAAAGTTGAGGAAAATAAGGGTAAATAGGGGCAAGAACGAAAAATGTAAGCAACATCTCTGGAAAGACTTGTTTTCGATCCATTATTTGACATGGATAACAGATATTTATCGTCCCATCGTGTTTTGAAGCAAAATCGTACACGTTTAAGAAAGTCGAGAAAAATAAGGGTAACTAGAAGCAAGAACGAAAATGTAAGAAACATCTCCGGAAAGACTTGTTTTCGAACACGGTACCATTATTTTATGTGGATAACATATATTTATCGCCCCATCGTGTTTTGAAGCAAAATCGTACTGTTGGGTTCTGTGAGGAACGTCAAACAACATGCACAGTATTAAACTTATCGAAATAAATCCTAACGCAGCGGAACCTATAGTTAGGTTATGGACGTTTACCTGTTAAAATTTTTTGTCGACTCTGAGACGATGTAGAGTACCATTGATGTAGTTCGTCTGAACACCACAATCTAATGGGCGGATAGATTTGGCCTTTAGTTGATTCTAATCGACACGTCAAACGGACCTCGGTCGTACGGTGGCTCGGTCTCGGCGTCGGGTTGCAGCGGGCAGCTCGTTCGCATCGGGCGCGGACAGCTTGCGGGTACCCGGGTCACAGCGAACGTGCGTTGGTCGCTAGGTGTACGCGCGGGACTGTTGGGATGCGCGGGTGGACGCTGGCAGCTGCTAGGCGAGTGCGCGCGTGGAGGCGAGACTCCTTCTCCTACGCGGACTGGCGCTGGGATGTGGTGGACGCACGCGGGCGTGATGTGCGCGACTCCTGGACGCACAAGGAATGATGCGCGCGTGCTGGACGAGCACTGGGACCTCGCGATCGGCGACAACGAGCAGCAGATGCGAACGGGTGATGCGCGACTGCGTGCTGGGGACGATCGGCCAGTGAACAGACGATGCTGGGGACCTGCGGTGGTGACCGGGCATTGCTTGGCGTCGTTGTTGGGAGCTGGGACTGGGCTCGGTTGGGCGCGACTGCGGGCGGTGGCTCGCGGTAGCGATCGGCTGGGCTCGGACGACGACTGGCGGCGGTAGGCGATTTTCGGCGGCTTCTCAGGGCGGCGATGGGATGCGATCGGCGGCGATAAGATGGTGATGATGACCGAAAAATATATGTATATTAGAGGCTCAATATATTGTACCAAAAAACCTTCTAATGGATTATCTAAACACCTACTTCGAGGTGGAGCGTTTAATCGAATCTCCCTAACTCTCGAACAAATATGTAGAGAGAAAATTCAGCTAACATAAACTTGTAGGAGAGATTGGGACATGGTGTATTTATAAGTTCCATTAGGGACCTTAAGGATGTGCTAAATATGGGCTTATCCCATTAGGCCTAGGAATCCTAATTCTAATCCAATACTAACTTAATGTAGGAAGGAGATCTCCTACTATCCATCTCTTCTAGAAGACTCCTTAGTCTCCTAACACTAGAGAGGATCCTAGTAGGAATACCTTTCCTAATTAAATTAATAATCATGGAATAGAATTAAATCATAATTTAGGAAACCTAATTTCAGTCCAATTAATAATATAATATAGGAAATATATTTTCTACTAATCTCCATCTTCTAGAAGACTCCCAAGTCTCCTAACACTAGAGAAGATTCTAGTAGGAATTTTATTCTCCTAATTAAATTAATTAATATGGAATAAAATTAATTCCTATTTAATGGAATTAAATAATAAAACATCCTATTAGAGTAATATTATTGCTCTCTTCGTTTAGCCACTATTTTACCAATAAAATTGAGCCTCCATAATTAAATAATATTAAACCGATTGATCGATTTACCTCCATATGTTTAAGATATAACATCCATTGATTAATTAAATTACTGACAAAATAATTAATCAACTTCTTATTCATTTCCGAAATTAGTACTACTCAGATCCTTAACCATTATGTCAGATAATCGTCTACTTGCAGGGTTTAACATAACGTACATTCCTGAGCTCATTTCGGGGACGTCATCAATCCAGCGCACTGGAACATAGTGACCATAAATATTTTATAATACCACATCATTAATTATTCTTACTTACCAAAATACCTCGTATGTCATCCTAATAAAATAGAAATCACTTGGTAAATCAAATAAATAAGAAATAAAAATATAGGCCTATTTTATATTATCTTACGGCTTAAGAGAATGCATCAATCACTGAAGGTCTAGTTTACAACAACGGTCAGTGAGTCTCATATCCTTATCCTTCCTTGGTCTTGTTCAACACTTGACATAAGTGCTAGTGTAATTCTTCAGTCAAAGACCAACTGAATCAAGAATACACTACAGTCTTTTCCAAGAGGATCTCAATGCCTGTCTAGACTGTGAACGAATAGTTTAGTCTTATAAGGAACCGATAGGTGATCTTTCTGTTCGAAACACTTCGAACCACACTATCTCAATATAATACATGGAGTATGATTTGCATAAATAAATAAACTGCAATCATATGTACTTTGACTGAAACATGATGGCCAGATCAAAATGGAATTGATAGAATCTGCAAAACATAGCTTTTACAGCATACCTCAAACAATCTCCCTCTTATTCTTTATAAGCTCATGGCTAAACAAAATAACCACAATTTCTTTCAATCTAATTCTCAAAGACTAGTCTACTATGTCGCCCTAACATCTGACTCCCATTCCTTCTACGTATCTTGTAAAGACTTTCGCCGGTAGGCTCTTCGTAAAAGGATCTGCTAGGTTGTCCTCTGATTGTATCTTGGCAACAATGACTTCTCCTCGTCCAACGATTTCTCGTATCAGGTGGTACTTGCGTTCTATGTGTTTACTCGCTTTATGAGTCCATGGCTCCTTCGAACTTGCTACTGCTCCGCTGTTATCACAGAACACTGTGATTGCAGTGGGCAAACTCGGTACCACATCAAGGTCGAGGAGAAAATTCCTGAGCCAGACAGCTTCTTTCGCTGTCTCTGAGGCAGCTACATACTCAGCCTCCATGGTTGAGTCCGCCACGCATTTCTGCTTGACACTCCTCCATACTATGGCTCCTCCTCCTAAAGTAAACACAAACCCTGAGGTTGACTTGCTTTCGTCCCGGTCTGCCTGGAAGTCAGAATTGGTGTAACCCAATAGAAGCAATTCATCTGTCTGGTAAATCAACATGTACTCCTTAGTCCTATGTAGGTACTTGAGTATATGCTTTACCGTAGACCAATGTTTCGGTCCTGGATTACTCTGATATCATACTACCATGCCCACGACATAACAAATATCAGGTCGCGTGCACAACATAGCATACATGAGGCTTCCTACTACCGATGCATAAGGAACTGCCTTCATGTCCTCTATCTCTTGAGGCGTCTTCGGGGACATCCTCTTAGATAGAGGTATTCCGTGCCGAAAGGGTAAATCCCCTTTCTTGAAATCCTGCATGTTGAAACACTTTAGGACAGTGTCTATGTATGTGGATTAGGATAGACACAACTTTATCTTCTCTCGGTCGCGAATGACCTTGATTCTGAGAACATGTCCTACTTCTCCCAAATCCTTCATATCAAACTGCTTGGATAACCATACCTTTACGTCTGATAACATCTTCATACTGTTTCCAATGAGAAGAATATCATCCACGTACAAAACTAGAAACACCACCAAGTTCCATCACTTTTCTTGTACACAGTGCTCATCCGGACATTGGGTAAATCCATACGATTGGACAACCTCGTCAAAACGGATGTTCCAAGACCTCGAAGCCTGCTTCAGCCTATAAATGGACCTCTTCAGCTTGCAGACCAGATGCTCTTGGCCCTTTGTAATGAATCATTCTGGTTGCTGCATATAGATGTCCTCGTCCAAATTTCCGTTAAGGAAAGCGGTCTTAACATCCATTTGCCAAATCTCATAATCCATATGAGCGGCCACAGCCAAGAGAATCCTGATGGATTTAAGCATGGCTATCGGCGAAAAGGTTCCCTCATAATCGATTCATTCTTTCTGAGTGTACCCTTTCGCAACAAGCCTAGATTTGAAGGTCTCAACCTTCCCATCTAATCCTCTTTCTCTTATAGATCCACTTGCATCCAATGGCACGAACGCCACTAGGTGGCTCTACAAGATCCCCGACCTGATTAGTGTCCATTGACTCTATTTCAGATTTCATCGCCTTTTGCCAAGACTCTGCATCGCGATCTTGGAGTGCCTCATTGTATGTCCATGGGTGGGATTCAAGAACGTCCGGGACGGCCTCAGAAGACTCTCCCAGACCCATGAACCGTTCGGGCTGCCGGACAACCCTCCCACTACGATGAGGTACTACCTGCTCAGGTGCATCATCAGCGATACGTGTTGCAGTACTTTGTGGTGTAACATCTAGCGCACTCGGTATTGAAGTAATTACTCCCTTTAACTGTAATATCCCAATATTTTATCAGAATAAATTATGTTTTAGTTCCGATATAATAATGTTATCAATTATTATTGTCGGAATTAATTATTTTCAGTCGAGATTACCGGAAATTATTTTCGACGTACCGTTTACGTTCGGAATAATTTTGGTAATTAAGCATTATGTTTAATTAAATAATTAAACATAAGAAAGGGGTTAATTAGCAATTAATCATTGATTAAACATCAAAGCCGTACGAAAAATTCATGCTTCCCAACTTTATGAATATTTTCCTAAGTGTTAAGGAAAGATTTCTTCTTCCAAGTTTAGCAACTACACGTGTCCTTAGTAGGAGCTAAAAGGGGATCATTAGTCATCCTAAAACCATCTTAATGAAGAACAAGTGTTAAGGTTAAGGAGGGACACGTCTAAACTACATCATCTTCTTTTTTCGGCTTTCATTATAAAAGGATGAAGAGTTTGGGAAAAATTGTCCCAAATTGAAGCCTTACGTTCGTAGCTTTCAGCCCCTAAATTCAGTATCAAGTAACTTAGCCAATTACCTTAAGTTTTCCATAGCATCGCACGGCATATAGCATAGTATCGCACGACAAGCTTCCGTACACACGGCACGTACACGAAGTCAAGAAATCACGCCCATCTTTCGTTTTCAGCCGAACCGTTGGAGAGGTACTTTAATCTCCAACTCTCTTTCATGATTAAAGTTCAATTGGTATGAAGTTGTTCCGCTCATAACTTGAAATTTCATGAAGATGTCATCATAAGTTCGGTTCAGGCTATTGTAGGCCATGACCGAGTAAAGTCCTTTTCTACCCGGCAACTCTCGTGCAATTCATGTTTATTTGGTCATTTTAGATCATTTCATACTTAGTTGATCCATGTTGGTCGGAACAAATTGCAGATTTAAGCATGAATTGGCGTATAGCCGTCGGCAGCGCACATCGCGCATGGCCACGGGCCGCCCCAAGTCATGTTATGTTAGTTTCTGTTATGGTTGATATTGTTCGTATGATTTATATCTTGATAGCCTCAAAATGATGTTTCATGTTTAACTGGTCTTGAGTTGCCGAGGAAAAAGTTGATTCGGTCGAGAGACGGCCTATAGCCGTCGGCGGCGCACGGGCGCACGCCATCGGCCATGTTAGGTCATTGGACAAAAGTCATGATTTTATGTAAATTCGATCCTTTTGATGTGTTATGATTTTTCATGTTGAATTAAAAGGGAGTTGTCGGAGGGTGTAGCCGGACGACCGATAAGGATCGGCCAAGGTCGCCATGCCCGCACACAGCGGGTAGTGCACGCCGGCAGCCCAGCCGTGTCCGCGGGCAACGTGCGTGGACAGATGTCATGCACAGTCAGCTGTAGTAGCAGCAAGTAGAGCACGGTAGTGTGCAGCAGCACACGCCAGTGCGCAAGTCGCCCGCCAGTGGCCGTGGCAGTGCCCAACAGCTTGCCGAGTGGCCAACGTCGCGGGAGTCGCACGACAGCGTCCGCGCGGCGTCCTGTCAAGTCCAATCAGCACGGCAAGTGTCGCGTGATAGCACCTTCGTAGTGCCAGTTGCAGGGCCGATCGCCCAATACCGCCCAAGGTCGCGCGACAGCACCGTGCGACACTTGTTCATGTCAGGCGTGCTTATGCGTATGTCCGTTCACCCAGTTACTCGCTGCGGCATTCGGTAGTGCCTGGTAGCGTTCAGCGATGTTTAGCGCCAACGCACATAGCGTCTGGCAGCGCCAAGGTTCAGTCATGTGCGTCCAGCAGTGGCCAAGGGGCCTAACTCACGTTTGCCGTGGCTAGGTGCACATAGCACCTCAGCCATGGCCAGGGCAGGCCCGGCAGCGGCCGTGCCCACGCCTAGTTCAGCATGCAGTCGCACCACGGCCATGGCAAGGCTGTGGACCGAGTCAGCCGTCAGCCGACCGGTCCGAGCAGACCGGCGGTCCTGCCATACCGGTTAATACCGGTTTGACCCAAATAATATTATTTTAATCCCAGTTCGCAATTTAAGTGCCATTTCAGTTAAATTTTCGGGATTATTTCAGTTCAGTAAGTTCATGTCCAATCAGTTCATATCAGTTTAGTTCCGGTTATTCCGGTTAAGTCTAAGTATCATGTCAGGTTCAGTAGAGCATCTTAACGAAATTAATCAGTTAAGTTAACAGTCTGAGCATAGTCATTAGTAATTGTTTATATTATATTTCAGTTTTATCAAGTCACGAGTATCAGCACTGCCTTTATTTTCACGGATCAGGTGGGGACTCAGACAAAGTACTACATTGATTATAATTACGGTACCATGTTTGAGGTATGTATTTCATGTCATGTATCAGCTCGGAATGGTCGTCGGTCCATTCTGGGTTCTAATGGCCCTAGTCTGCCCACTAGAGTGTGCACATGGTGTCCGGCATTAGTTCTTGCCGGCAGATGAGGTAATGGTCAGGGTCACGTTTGCGTGACAATATCAGATTCATGTTCATGTTATTACCGGTTTCATGTTGAGGTTATGTATATGCCGATATCATGATGTTGTTATTATTTTCAATGTTTACATTAGTATGAGTTTCAACGGAGCACAGTGCCATAGTGCTCATTTCCCACTTTATCATGTTTTTCAGGTCAGGATGTCGGGCAGGGAGCGTGAGATGACAGAGGCTTCAAGACTTTTATGTTTTGATTGTGTATATATTATCACGATTTACGTTTCCGCTGATTATGGTTTTTGATGAACTTATGTTTTGACCGGACTTTTGGGAAAATTTATGCTTTCAGTAATCATATGATTTTATTAAAAATTAAGATAACGGTTTTTCCAAAATAAGTCACGTTTTACGGTAGCACCCCAAATCAGTTTTCATAAAGTAAAAAGTTTTATTTTTAAATAAATTTGCGGAATTTTCGCACTCTGATTTTACGATAAGGCGAGGTATTACAATTGGTATCAGAGCACGTTTCTGCGTCTCTGAAAAAGTTTTTCAGTCAGTAATTTTCAGAAAAACCTGAACCGTCATTCTCACGCCCCGCCGACGACAGGTAAGTGCTGATTTATGTTTTCAGTTATAAACAAATTACTTTGTCTATGCTCAGAATTATGGATCAGGACCTTAGTTAAGATGCTCGAATCAGGATCGGACTTTAGAATTCAGGGCATTCAGATATGACTCTAGACTTAGTATCTTCCGATATGACTCTAGAGTTCTTCAGGATTCATGTCAGTAATTATCGGCCATTTTTGGCAACTCGTCAAGAGATCTGTGTGCCTTAGTAATCAGTCAGAATGTTATCACGTGTTCAATAATGTTAAACTTTCTCAATGTTCAGATGCCGCCACGTAGGGAACCCGATCATCGGTCTCCTACTCAGGCTACTGTAGTCGCACAGTTCCGCGACTATCACGCTGAAAAGTTCTCAGGGCAGGGAGATCCCCGCATCGTAGATGAATGGATTAAGGGCCTGGAGTTTATCTTTGAGGTCATGGACTGCCCCGATAGATATCGCGTAATCTGCGCTCAGCTTCAGCTCACCGGTGATGCTAGGCTCTGGTGGAACGCCTACTGGAGCATGCATCCCGGTGAAAAAGCGGGATGTACATGGGACATGCTTAAGGAGCTAGTCCGCGAAAAGTATTACCCCTCCTACTATCGGGCAGAGATGGAGCGTCAGTTCTTAGCGCTCCAGCAGGGCACTCGTACGGTTGATGAGTACGAGCGAGAGTTTACTAGACTTGCAGCTTTCGTACCGGACCTGGTTCGCACGGAGGCCCAGAGAGCGCAGCGGTTCATCGACGGGCTTTACCCAGCAGTCCGTCACAACATCGTGGGACACGGGACTCAGACCTACGCTCATGCAGTTTCTAACGCCCAGGAGGTGGACGCTAGCATCAGGAGGAAGGCAGTTCGTGATCGTGCCCAGCCATCCGCCCCAGTTCAGCCATTCGCAGCTCCTCCAGAACTACCAGCTGCTCAGCCGGCAAAGGAGAAGAAGAGGAAGGGGAAGGGCGCACAGACTGACCGGAGGACCCGACAGAGACAGCAGCCGGTTCCACTATGCCCGACTTGCGGACGACTTCATCAGGGAGAGTGCCACATGGGTCAGGACATCTGCTACTACTGCCACGAGCCTGGACATTTTGCGAGTCGCTGTCCGAAGAGACTTCAGCAGCAGCCCCAGCAGCCTCAGCAGCCGCCACAGCAGCCGCAACCACGTCAGCAAGCGCAGAGACTGCCTGATGAAGGATCGGATGTTCATGTCCTCGTCTTGTCTCGATCACGGCTTCGCCACGGCCTTGCTCTCGACGATAGGTGTGATCGACTCGGTTATTAGCCTAACTCTCTCACGATACTTGAGTTCACTTGGTTATTAGCCTCGTTTCACTCTTGAAATAGATCGGGTCTTAGCCTCTCTAAATCGTTGAACTGGTTCGGGTCTTAGCCTCACCAATTCAATTTGTATGATCGAATCTCACGAATCTCAACACACGGTTTGAACAAACGTTCTTTTATATTCCATTCCAAGACTCCCAAAAACAATGGGGGGATGGTCCCTATTTATAGATCCTAACTATGACTAATTCTAATCTACCTAGGAAACATATTAAAGCAATAAAATATTAAATATCCTATACATTCTAGATATTATTATGCAAGAAGGAAACTAAATATCTAAAGTCCTAAATTGACTAGATCTTGATTTTGCTTGGCTTGCACTCCAAACAAATCCACATCACACGCCTCTTGTACTCGGCCGCCTCGCACGCGCACGCCCTAACCGCCTTTGCGCGCGCCGACCTCTGAGACCTAATCCTTGTCGCGCGCGGCATCGCGCGCGCGCGTCTCGCACGCATCATCGCCCGTGCATGCTCGTTGCCTTGCCTAGTCCCGCGTGGACTAGGCTTCTCGCGCCCGCCCGTTATGCGTGCGTTTTCTTGCGCGCTACTCTTTCGCGACCGCCCTTGCGCGTGCATGCGCCCAGCCCCTCCTATTCCTTCCGCGCATAGGCCTGCGCTCGCGCCTATCGCCCACTCGCGCGCTATCGCGCGCGCACTACCCCGTCCGCTATTTTCGCGCGCGTCCGTCCCGCCGTTACGTAGTCCTATGCCTTCGCGGTTTCGGACGCCGCCCGCGTGGCCCTCACCCGCGCGCCCAGCTCGCCCGCCGTTCGCTGCCCGCGTGTACCTCGCATCGCCCGTGACCTGCTCGCCAACCGCGCCCCCGCGTACACCCGCGTACACCCGCACGCTGGCCACCCGTCCTCGCGCATCACCGCCCGATGCGCGTCTCTCGCCCGTTCAGCCCTCGGTCACTCCCGACCCTCCTTCGGCCTCGACGACCACTTCCGCATCACTGCCTCAGCAGCAGCAGCAGAGGGGCAGACAGCAGGCCCGGGTTTACGCAATTGATCAGGCAGAGGCAGCACAGCAGCCAGGTACTATGTCAGGGATGGTTGTGCTTAATGATATTCCTTTTTTCGCTTTGTTCGATACTGGAGCAACGCATTCGTTCATATCACGACGATGTCACGATGCCATCGGAGTTCATGCCGTTACCGCTGTCGATCCTCTCGAGGTGAGTTTAGCCTCAAGACGAAAGATAGTGACCTCAGCTAAAGCCTCAGACCTTAGCCTTTCCATCGGTGGCAGAGTATTGTCTACCGACGCGTTTATTCTCGAGATGAGAGACTTCGATCTTATTCTCGGAATGGATTGGCTATCCTTCTATCATGCCGATATCAGATGTCATGACCGGGAGATTACTCTCTATCTGCCGGGAGACGAGTTGATTACTTTCTTCGGCTCCAGGAATCGTTCATTGCCTCATGTTGTTTCGATGGCGAAAGCCACTAAGTTATTGCGACGAGGCAACTGCCAGGGTTATCTGGTGAGCCTTGTCGACGATTCTCAGAAAGCACGCTCACCTCATGATGTTCCAATCGTTCGTGAGTTTGTGGACGTGTTCCCAGACGAGCTTCCAGGAGGACCGCCTAACCGACAAGTGGAGTTCTCTATTGATCTCATTCCAGGGGCCGGTCCAGTATCTAAAGCCCCATATCGCATGGCGCCTAAGGAGTTGCAGGAGCTTAAGACTCAGATTCAGGAGCTGTTACGACTCGGTTTCATCCGACCGAGCGTGTCACCGTGGGGAGCACCCGTTCTCTTTGTTAAAAAGAAAGACGGATCCATGCGCATGTGTATCGACTACCGGGATCTTAACCGGTTGACGATCAAGAACAAGTACCCGCTTCCCAGAATCGACGATTTATTTGATCAGCTGAGGGAAGCCTGTGTTTTCTCAAAGATTGATTTACGATCAGGCTACCACCAGCCGAAGATTGAGGAATCAGATATCGCTAAGACCGCTTTCAGAACTCGTTATGGCCATTACGAGTTCGTCGTCATGCCATTTCGTCTCAGCAATGCGCCAGCAGTTTTCATGGACCTCATGAACCGTATTTTCCATCCCTACCTTGATCAGTTTGTTATTGTCTTTATTGACGATATTCTTATCTACTCAAAGAGCCAGAAGGAGCACGAGGAGCATCTGAGGGTGGTTCTCGAAACCCTCAGACGAGAAAAGTTGTTTGCAAAATTCTCTAAATGCGAATTTTGGCTCCAGCGAGTATCTTTTTTGGGTCATGTGATTACTCAGGCATGTATCGAGGTGGATCCTTCTAAGGTCTCAGCTGTTTAGAACTGGTCGACACCGAGGAGTCCGTCCGAGGTTCGCAGTTTTCTCGGTTTAGCTGGCTACTATCGCAGGTTTATCGAGGGCTTTTCCAAGATCGCCCTCCCTCTATCCCAGCTGACGAGGAAGTCTGTGAAGTTCGAGTGGACTGATCGTTGTGAGGCAAGCTTCCAGGAGCTCAAGAGGAGGTTAACTTCAGCACCAGTGTTGACTATTCCCGATCCTTCTCGGAGTTTCACTATCTTCAGCGATGCTTCGAGACAGGGCTTGGGATGTGTCCTTATGCAGGACGGCCAGGTCGTTGCGTATGCTTCACGTCAACTTAAGCCTCATGAGCAGAACTATCCGACGCACGACTTGGAGTTAGCCGCAGTCGTTCATGCTCTCAAGATCTGGCGACATTATCTTTACGGCGGATGTTGCGAGATTTTCACAGATCATAAGAGCCTGCAGTACATTTTCACGCAGAAGGAGCTTAATATGAGACAACGCCGTTGGCTCGAGCTCGTCAAGGATTACGACTGCTCTATTCAGTATCATCTGGGGAAGGCGAACGTCATTGCGGATGCCCTAAGCCGAAAGGTGAAGGGTGACTTGACGTACGTCATTACTCAGCAGATTCCATTGATTCAGGAGTTTGCCGGGATGCAGCTTCAGGCGATCGATGCACTTCCCATAGCCGTTTCGGGGAGTACCAGTGCCAGTGTCAGTGCTATGCAGCTCCAGCCGACGCTGAGAGAGAGAATCCGGCGAGAGCAGGCTTCTGACGAGTTCATTCGTGTCATGGAGGCCAAGGTTCGCGCCGGAGGCGTCGAGGGTTTTCAGCTAGGTGCCGATGGTGCCTTAGAGTTCAGAGGCAGGATCGTGGTCCCGAAGGTCGAGGCGTTGCGGAGGGAGATTTTATCAGAGGCTCATACCACACCCTATCTTGCCCATCCCGGGAGCACGAAGATGTATCACGACCTGAAAGGGTCGTTCTGGTGGCGAGTCATGAAGAAGGACGTCGCCGAGTTCGTCAAGAGATGTCTTACCTGTCAGCAAGTCAAAGCCGAACATCAGAGTCCGATCGGCCTCCTGCAGCCACTGCCGATTCCAAGGTGGAAGTGGGAGGAAGTTACGATGGATTTCGTTACGGGATTGCCGAGGTCGTCTGAACATCACGACGCTATCTGGGTCGTGGTCGACAGATTGACTAAGGTCGCTCATTTCTTACCCGTTTCGATGAAGATGTCTCTGGACAAGTTGGCTGAGATATATACCCGTGGGATCATCCGACTCCACGGAGTGCCCGTCACGATCGTATCAGACAGAGATCCCAGATTCGTCAGTCGATTCTGGCACAGTTTGCATGAGGCGATGGGCAGGAAGCTAGAGTTCAGTTCAGCCTACCATCCGAAGACAGATGGTCAGTCTGAGCGGACTATTCAGACACTTAAGGATATGCTTCGCGCTTTGGTTGTTGACAGGGGTGCTAAGTGGGAGTCGTTGTTGCCGTACGCCGAGTTCGCGTATAACAACAACTACCATTCTTCTATTCAGATGGCTCCTTACGAGGCACTTTACGGTCGCAAGTGTCGTTCCCCTCTCTATTGGGACAACGTCGGAGAGCGACGAATACTCGGTCCTAAGCTGATCAAGGAGACAGCAGATCAGGTCGAGTTGATCCAGCAGAGACTCAAAACAGCTCAGAGTCGACAGAAATCCTCAGCCGATCATCATCGACGAGACATTCAGTTCGAGGTTGGCGAGCCAGCTTTTCTCAGAGTTCGTCCGATTCGCGGAGTTGTACGATTCGGAAAGAGAGGGAAGCTGCACCCTCGATTCATCGGTCCGTTCGAGGTTCTTGAGCGAGTAGGCGAGGTCGCGTATCGATTAGTTCTACCTCCTGAATTATCAGGCATTCATAATGTTTTCCACGCATCTATGTTGCATAATACGTGTGCGACCCCGATCATGTCATTCCTCATTCGGATATTCAGGTTCAGCCAGATTTATCGTACGAGGAGCGACCGGTAGCTGTACTAGACCGTCAGGTTCGTCGGCTTCGGAAGTGAGATATTCCCCTCGTGCGTATTCAGTGGGATCGCCATGGAGCCACTTGGGAGGAGGAGTCCGATATTCGCGCTCGTTTTTCCAGATTTTCAGTTTTGATGTACATATTTCTTTATCATATGTACATAGTTCATGTATATTAGCTATGTTTTGAATTTCCGAGGACGGAAATTTTGTAAGGAGGGAGGATTGTAATATCCCAATATTTTATTAGAATAAATTATGTTTTAGTTCCGATATAATAATGTTATCAATTATTATTGTCGGAATTAATTATTTTCAGTCGAGATTACCGGAAATTATTTTCGACGTACCGTTTACGTTCGGAATAATTTTGGTAATTAAGCATTATGTTTAATTAAATAATAAACATAAGAAAGGGGTTAATTATCAATTAATCATTGATTAAACATCAAAGCCGTACGAAAAATTCATGCTTCCCAACTTTATGAATATTTTCCTAAGTGTTAAGGAAAGATTTCTTCTTCCAAGTTTAGCAACTACACGTGTCCTTAG